GAGACGAAAATGATATTTCCGTTCACTTGCATTTTTTCGTTCATTGGCAAATGGATGGATTATTTTGTTATGAGTCAGAAACATATCATTTAAGAGGACATTTTCCATCCGAGTGTAGGATCCATACTTGTTTTTGCCTCTTCCTCATGTTGCATGTGGAAATATGTTGATTGCTACTAAAATATGTATCCAGAATCAGGATTGATTAAATAAGCCCGGAATGCTATGGATGCCGGGATGTATTAGAATAAAGGGACGAAAAACTGATGGAGAGGCAATGAAGTTCGCGATCTTTTGATTAACAAAAAAGAAGTTGACTGCAGGAAAAGAAGCTTTACTTGTACCACAACATTTATTTCTCCTATGCCACAATCAGCAAATGGAGCTTTGCGCCCCCATGCATAATGACCATAAATTTTTTACCAAATGAACTTCACCACAAAGTTCCGGAAAGTAACTTCACAAAGTTAAGATTTGAGTTATTTGACTTTGTAATTTAATAAATAAACAAAACAAAGCTGCAAAACAAAGATAAACAAAAATGTCGACATAAAAAGCCGTATCTACACGAGATCAAGAAACACATAAGCTGTTTTTATCTGATAACATTTTCTTAAGGGGAAATTCATCAGGCCTACCAATCTAATAAAGAATATTCTATAACCCGCTGAATTCCAAGTGCCAAAATTCAGCTGGACTGCTGATCATTAGGTGGAATCATTTCATAATCACTAGCCCAAAACCACTTATTTTATTTTAAAAAGGGCATATTAATGGCCTTTTCTAATTCAATATTAAATAATCATAGGAACATTATCTTTAGCAATAGGCTTTGGTGACTATGATGATTGTGACTTAAAACTACATTATTGCCCTTTAGCATGACATTCCTAAAGTTCATAAAAACAATTATAAAAAAACAACCATATGAGGAAATTTTCCAACAATGAAAGGCTAACAAACCCGGGATCACCAACAGTGAGTGGCCCCGTGACAATAAGTCTAAGCATACTAAAAGTATTGATAAACTTCAAGTTGTTCAAATCAAAATGGACTTTTGTTATGAAACTTTTCTTTTTCGGAACATTCATATGATGGCCCATCAATATAGGACAATATAAGATAAGAAGGCATCATTGTATCATCAATCAGAAAAGAATCTAATCTCTTAGGGACAGAAACCACGCGATTATTGACTAATCAATGACAATTAATGCAAGACAATGAGAGAGAAAAAAAAGAAGGGAAATTACTTTTGAATTGGAGCCGATCATTGGAAGGAAAATGCTTGCTTGCTCTTACAATAATTACTGGGTGTCCATTTTTTGATAAACCCTGTAAGTAAATCTTTTTAGATCCCAATTCATCGCCAACTTCAGAGTCAGAGATGAACCCTGAAGGCACCAATGCAGTCCACCATTTCTGCCACTGAACAAACATCTTTGCAGTTTTGTCTGGGTCCATTGATCTGGCAATCAAGAACCTCATGAGTGCTGGGTCTCCATACTTCTGCAAGCAATAATATTTTTGCACTAAAGGAACAAAATTGATGACCAATTCACATAGTGCATTGTGCAGGAAATATGGCTGTGTGTTTGTGAGAGAATGATTACAGCATTATAACTTACCTCTGTGGAAGACATAAGCTTTTCAACTGATTTCCTCATCTGGGTCAGTGAATGTCCATTTCGGATTTCGGGTAGGAACAGTATGGGTTGGTTTGAGATCTAAAATATGGCTTTGAACTGAAAGATGGATTCAATTGAATTTGTGAAAAAAGGCAGATAGAGAGAAAGAGAGAACAGTGGTGTTGACAAAACGGAACACTTGAGAATAAATAGGAACACTTGAAGAATAGAATAAATAATNTGAAAAAAGGCAGATAGAGAGAAAGAGAGAACAGTGGTGTTGACAAAACGGAACACTTGAGAATAAATAGGAACACTTGAAGAATAGAATAAATAATATAAGAGAGAGAGAGAGAGCGAGAGAGAGGGGTTTGGCGAAGTGACATGGACAGTTCTGGTTGGTTCCTAAGACTGTCCACCTCCTGGAAGGCTGGATACTGCACTTCTTTTCTTCTTCAACACCCCCAAAAAAAATTTTGCATCTATCGACCAACAACTTTGCTAGTTTAAAAAAAAACCCAACCAGCTGCGATTGTTAGTGTTGGAGAAATGCGGGAGCATGTNAACTTACCTCTGTGGAAGACATAAGCTTTTCAACCGATTTCCGCATCTGGGTCAGTACAATTTCTTGGTTTCTGTCCATTTCGGATTTCGGGTAGGAACAGTATGGGTTGGTTTGAGATCTAAGATATGGCTTTGAACTGAAAGATGGATTCAAATTGAATTTGTGAAAAAAGGCAGATAAAGAGAAAGAGAGAACAGTGGTGTTGACAAAAACGGAACACTTGAAGAAGAGAATAAATAATTGAGAAGGAGAGAGAGATAGAGTAGAGGAAAAGGGGTTTGGCGAAATGAAATGGACAGTTGTGGTTGATTCCTAAGACTGTCCCACATCCTGGAAGGCTGGATGCTGCACTTCTTTTCTTCTTCAACACCCCCAAAAACATGGGAATTGCATCTAGCAACCAACAATTTTGCTAGTTAAAAAAAACCCAACCAGCTGCGATTGTTTTTTTTTTTTTGGTCAACTGCAATTGTTAGTGTTGGAGAAATGCGGGAGCATGTGATTTTTTTATATGTAAATTTATACTGATAGGTCATTATTATAATAGATATTATAATAAATAATTGATTATTATACTCTTCAAATAATTTATTTGCACTAAACAGATGCAAATTAGTCGAGTTTAATAAATTGTAGTAAAATTCTTTTGTGTCTTAATGTGTGGACCCATAAAAATCTCACTCACTCTTGTCCCTTTGGGGACATCCGACAAAATTAGAACGATATAGAGAAGATTAGCATGACCCATGCGTAAGGATAACACGTACAAATCAAAAAATAAATCATAAAATCTCACTCTCGTGAGACCCATTGAACTTAACGGTGAATGATTTAATATGAGCGACATTGGTAATTTTTGAAATTGAGATGATCCAAATACAATCCAACACTATCTTGCTAAAACAGGAGCCAGATTTAGCCGAAGAAAATTAAAAGTTTGGACCAGCAAATCTACCACGGCATAGAGATGAGTTGAGCAAGAACTACCAGTGGTGGTAGTTCAATTTGGAGGATTTAATTTGCCTATCTACAAAAGCTGATTTTCCTTTGAAGAGAAGCCTAGTGGAAACAATGTTATACTCTACCCATGGATGGAAATTACGTTTCAAACAACCAAAACAATTTGGTTTCTGTAGAAACAAAAATGTACTAGTGATTGAATATCGAAACTCATACTCTTTTGAGGTATTTCAGGGTGTTTTAGTATGTCTCGACCAATGTGATTTTTAAACTAATCAGAACAATGTGCAAAAACAAAATTCCTTGTCCTACCCTGTCAGCTCAAGTTACATGATAATGATGCATGGATCAATGAAACCAGAAGGCTAGTGAATCGTGGAGGACTATGGATTGAAGCTATAGTGTCCTGGTGATTTTGGCACTCGACGTTTCTATTTGTACCAAAACTCATCACATAAATCTACAAGCAAAAGGAGGCATCAAGTTGAAACCTTCAATCTTGACAAAGTACTCTTCTATCACAAGAGCAATAGTTTTGGGGGTCAAGAGTATTAATGTGACGCAAGAAATAATTGGTGGTACTTAATAAGCTATAAGGTTACAAGGTGTAACTGGTATCATTCATACACATCAGATTCCTGAGACTTGGGTTTGCAACCGAAGCCACATCGATTTATCTATTGAGTTACCAATGGGGTAAGTACAACGTCTTGAAGAGCCACGAGCGTTGCTCGCCCGCCATACTCTTCGGGTAAGGCCTCTTCACCAATTTCCCTAACAAATTCCCTCATTTCGTCTTCATTGTTCACAATTACGATCTGCATTCGTTATGACAAATTCAAAATCACAGCTTGAAATTCAAATGAAAATTATGAACCAAAACAGATAATTTGTCAGTCATTGGAAAAAAGAAGGTATTGGCATACAGCAAGTCAAGGTATATCTAAATGGCATATTCACCGACAGTATACCTCATGGTGGTCATGGATCATCCAGTCTATGCAACCCAGTTAAGAAGGTTATCTAATGTATCTTCAACTAGAAAATTACTACTAATTACATTGCATACCTTCTCTAGCGTCGCTTTCTCAAGGAATTGGCATACTATCCTCCAAACACTCACGGAAAACCGTGGCATATTTAGTATGAAACACTTAGCTAAACGCTCTGGATAGTAAGCCTCCATGAATGAAAATGTATAACATATATGTTGACATAAAAGTGATGCAAACTTACATGAGAGTAAACAATCAAAGATCATTGGCCAAGTATGCCTTTAAGTGGCCCAAGGTCTGTTTATCAAGAAGATCTTCAATAACAGACAACATCAGTCTTTACCCAAAAAATTTCAAATAATTGAAATACGAAAATTATCACTCGTCATTCATTTATACATTAATTTCAGTTTTTCATAGGAGAACCAAGCATATTCATGTCAAGTACCATTATATTCGTGACTTGGTTATTGATGGTGAGATTGAAATTTTGTATTGTCAATCCGATCATCAGATTGTAGATATTTTTACCAAACCACTTAAATTTGATGAATTCATGAAGCTTAAGCGGATGATGGAGATGATCAAGATTGAAGAGTTTGGTTCAAGTGATACTGTTAGAGTTTGACCCAAACTCTCCAAGTGTTTTATTCTTTATTTATTTGATATTAATTTATAATTAGAGTTTTAATGAGTTTAAGAGTTTTGACCCATAAAGTATTTTAGTTAGTTTTGAGTAATTCAATTAAAGTTAATTTAGGATTAGTTTATGATTAGGAGTCATTAACTTTTTGGTCTTTTATGTTTTGTAATGGCAGAAGCTTGGCGTTAAAAAAAATTATCGGCACTAACCTTATTAGAGAATTCTTTGTTTTGCCTCATGCCTTTGACGTTAAGTTTTGATGTCTTTTTTGTTTCATCTTTATTGATATTTTTCTTGATTAATTAATTTTTTGTGTGAGAGATATTTGAGTAATCTTCAGGAGGAAAGCACTTACAAAATATACGATTGCATTAAATCTACATTTGTAATTTAGTTGAGGAGATTCCATGGCATTTTGAACATGTACTTGTAGTGGTACAAGTGTTTAAGGAAGAAAAAGTGAAATGAGAGAAAGAGAGAAAGAAAAGTTGAGAAGAAAATCTGTATATGAGTTGTGTTGTCCTACACCCACTTATTTATACTAGAAGGATTGTAGTTACGATATTACCCTACACTTGCTTAGTATGACTCAGATATAAAAGAACCCTATCATCAATAATAAACCTAGAACCAGATTTGCGATCAAAACCAGAGGTTTGGCCTCTAACAAAGGTGATCTGCACAAATTTCGTGAACCCAGACAAGTTCATGGCAGCACAATGACTAGAAGCTAGTACACCAGAAGAAATCCTTGATCATGTTCCACATCTTCAAACTATAAATCAAGTTAAGAAACCAATGAACAAATAAAGAACCAATTCCAAGCTATTGTACAAGGCATTATGCATAGGGAACACAAAAGAACATATGATTGTAGAAATTGACTGCAGTCGAGTTAGTTTCAAATTTGATTTGTGAAGACCGAACTCCATTTGTTATGTTTTCATAGACACGTCTGTTCAATTATTTGTGCCAAGGGAAATGACTCCAAAAGAATTTCCAGTAAAAAATTGTAATAGAGCTGTATAAACACCTTCATAAGTCATATGCTTGATGCTTCTTATCTATTGCCATTTACACTAAAATTTCTGTAATAGAATGATAACACAAAAAAGAATTACCTGCAAAAACTGAAAACCAGTGATTAACCCACGTGCATCAATGTTTTTGAATGTAATTTGTTGTAAATCAAAAACAGCAGTCAGCTTTTCATTTCCAATCTCTCTGCCTTTAAAAGAACTGTAAAAAGTACACGGAAATCCATGCAAGAATGAAATGTCTTGCTAGAAGAAAATAAAAAACTTAAAAAAAAATCAGTTAGGGAGAAGGATATAAGACTAGTCCACATGAGAGAGAGTATAACAGACATACAATGATAAATGTGTAGACATTTAATATTGCACAAAGTGACAAAGAGCTATGAAAAAGAAACAAGAAGTTTATCATAAAGCTAAAATCACAAGTGGAAAGAATGTGAGAAGGAAACCACAAGTCGGAAACAATAAGAAGATTATAGACCACTTATTATTGCAAATGGAACAGAAATATGAAGATAAAAAGAATTTATGATATTGGTGCAAGTGTGGATTCCTAGAAGAAGGTGCCAATCTTTTGAAAGTCATATTCGTACCCAGGTAAGTATATTAATATCTGTCTGTACAAATACAAGCCACAGCCAAGAAGAGATTATAATAAGAAGAAACACCCAGGTAAATATTCAATATTTTCAATACACGATTCCTTTTTTTCCCTCCTTTGCTAAATGCACCTCTCTCTCTCTCTCTCTCTCTCTCTC